ATCGCTCCGCTTGTGTTCCCGCCCGCCGCCACCGCCTTTTCTCTTAGCGTCACCTTCTGCGCTGACGTCACTCTGAAGCCATCAGTCTCCTCATCAGCTGTGCACCTAGGGAAGGGGCAAGCAAAAGGGAGAAGTTATGGGGAGCTGCTTTGTTTGGCAGGGAAATGGGCGTTAAGTTAACCAAATCGGGCAGTTTCACCACAGCAACAGTTACCGTGGTTCCACGGTATCATTATAAGCGGTACCTGCTAATGCACTGCTCTGGTTTTGTCGCTAGTGATGTAATCACAGGATGTTTTTAGGTATTTCCACAAGATCTATCTTTTTTGCTTAACATACATTTATTCCAGCACATGGCTATATAGACATGAGTATGGTTTCATCTGATTTTCCAGCTGAACTATCTTCTTCATGGTCCGTAGTCCCTGATGACCAGGAGTGTGATTTTTGGAGCATTTTTACTGGATTCTCATATGTTTTTGCACTGGGAACTGAAGGAACACTGTTTTGAGAAGGGAAGTTTTGGCAGTAGGCATCAGCGGGGCGTGAGGACCCCTGGGCTTTGCACTCTTTGACTCCCCAGCATGCCATTTCCTTTATGCTGCTCCGAAATATCCTCTTTCATCTCCATTGTGCGAGCCAGCATGTAGCTGACCTTTCTCTGATGAGCCAGAGCCTCCTCTTTGTCATGTACCTAAGCATTTATTTAAAAGAGAAAGAAAAGAAAGTTGTATATAAGCTAAGAACAAGGCACTGCATCTAAATCAACTGTTTTATTTGCTCCTCTAGTGACTTACGATGAATATTTTAACAAAATACTAACCAAATCTATTAACATCTTCAGGATTTCATGAGGATTGTCTAGCCCTTCAACCTTCCTGCAGTCCATATCTGATGAGAGCAGGCTGGAGAGTTTTCGTCCCAGGCTGTTCTTGTTCCCCTGTAATTTGACAGATCCTAAGGAAAACAAAAGAACAAGAACTGTGGGATCACTTAGGAGGAGAAAAACTCCTTTGGAATCAAATGCGCACACATAAAACCGGATTCTGGATCATGTCCTCTAAAGCGGCAATGCAAGCGGCAGCTACTCCCGTTGCGTGTACATAATGCACCAGATAACTCACATCCCTTACCTTCACTTAAAGGCTACATAGACCTTTCACCATATATATATATATGTGCAAATTGAAAACTAAGTTCTATTTGCTACATGGAAAATGCACTTTGACACTCTAGTTGAACAATAACTTGTGGTAATTTGTTTTTAAACTGTAAGTAGCCTTAAAAAAAGATTATTTTACATAAGCTGTTTAAAAGTGTCTAAGATTTCTAGAAAGATTAAAATACATTAAATTTATGAAACATATGTATCAGGATATAGAGCTTGGAAACAATGATGTCGGTATAGGGGAAGCAGATATTCAAGATGTATGTTGTTATAGTATTACATCCCAAGGGCACTCAAGGAATCCAGAAAAACCAACAAACTTCTAAGCCTGGCACCTCTAGTCTGGCTAACAGAAATACATCTTGAAGCACCATTCCTAAATCCTGCTATGGGTTTGATCATGACATAAGCACTTCAATACTTTTTTTAATCATTTTTCTTAAAGAGGAAAAGGATAATTAGAATTTTTCCTCTTTTACAGAGGGCTTTGTAACTCACTTGGTAACATGATAAGTGTAAGAATAATAATAAATACTAATTTAGGTAAACATGCATAATAAAAAAAAATGTTTTTAAAAACTAGAAAAAATCTGTTTAGTGTTTCAGTGAAAGCTCAGTATTTTTTTGCATTTCTCCCCATTCCCTAACTCTTAGGTACAGCTCATCTGAAAAAAACCCAGCACAATAAATTGTTGATAGCATCTAATATGGCCAGGCTAAACTTGCCAGATGTTAGCTTTTTGTGCTGTTCTCATAATAAACGTTTTTAATATCCAGAATGTTACTGTCATTCTGGATAACAGCTTATTTATTCTAGCATGTTTTTACTCAGATAATACAGTTAGTGAATGTGTAATATTAAAAGACTACATTGAAAGCCTAGACTCGTAGTGCTAACATCCTACAGTAGTATTTATATCTTCCACTTATACACACTCTATAATTACACATGTGTAATTTCTGGTAGAAAGTCTTCAACTACACAACACACTATTTAACGTATTTACAGTTTTGACATAACTTTGTTCCTTTTTTTCTCAACTCCTCCTAAACCTCAGCCAGCAATTAAGCCACAACACACACTTAATACAAGAAAGCCTGCTTGTTACACTTGTCAGCTAACTTCTTTTCTAGTCAGCCATTACAGATACACAGCATTCCCAGTTACCATCGTCTTTCAGGCGTCTCCAGTTTATAAATTTCGTTTCCTTCTTAATCTTTATCACTTCTGCAAGCCTCAGGGCTTGGTCCTTCCTCTGTATCAGCTGCTGCTCAAATGCAATTCTGAAGGCATCTGCCATTATATAAGCTTCATCTTTACTCTTCTTCAGATTTTCAACCTGGTTTTAATTCAGAGAAAATTTAAAGTGCATTAAGCTATTTGGATGCAATAGCAGATTTAAAATGTATATTAACATACAAGACTAAAACCATTAACACAGACAACTTTTAAATAAATGTAATCAAAGAAGTAGCAGAAACCAGACAAAGTGCTTTATTGCCACATGAAGAAATACATTTCGTAACATGTATTTAAGTTCTTGCCCTCCCTCTTCTATGCATGCACACACCACCCATCCACACAGATAAGCTGCAGCAATGCCCATTTATTTCTGCACATGCAGAAGGGCTTGAGGAGGGCATTTATGTCCCATGCAGGTTGGGCCAGGAGCAAAAAGAGCAAAAGAATGGCATCTATGTCAGGGGTAGTATCTTTGGTACAAAAGGGACATGACGGTCCTTATTTTCAAAACTAGGAAGTTAACTGGAACTTCTGCAGTGAGACCACGAGGGTGGTTACTGCACTTGCAGAGTCAAATGAAAATTCAAAGAAAAAATTCTTTGTACAGAATTTCACTAGATTAAAAACCTTAAGAGTTGAAAATCGTATTATCAATTTAAGTGTGACGTAAATACAGTTTTCGGCAAGATTAGCTTCCTGACCTAGGTGGTGAGCAGCTTGTGAGTGCTGATGTCAATGTGAGGGAGGGGGTGGAACATAATGCTATGCAGGAAGGGAAAGGGGAGTCATCTCTGTCAGACCTAGTCCACACTCACACCGTGTATAAATTTAGAGGATGTATACTCTTGGAGGGTTTTCCTCTTTTTTTAGATTAGAAAATAGCGCAGAAAGAAAAAGAACATGAAAGAGATTTTTTTAGCTGATTGATACCATAATTACAATTTTATATCAGTAAAAGTTAGGGCATTACAAATATTACAAACATTTCTGAGATGCATTCTTCTTTTAGAATACATTAGTTGGTGTAAGCTGCAGTAGAGTGTTTCTGGCTTTATTTGGTTCTCAGCACAAGCACCCTCCTGTTTGTTCATTTCCAAACCAAGCAGCATTACCTCTTGCTTAAGATGAAGAAGCTGCTTTCGAGTTATAGCTGCCATTTTAGCACAGGGACAAGGCTGCACTCCAGAAGTACTGCAGATGCAGGCTTTGAGAACTGCCAGCTTAAAATCCAAAACAAACCACCAGTTAAATAGCCATCTGCATACGCAGTGCAATCCAAGAGATGCCAGATGACAAGCAAAAAAAATCCTGAAACTACAAAGAGAGTGCAAGGGCCAGGGGAAGCAAGATACAAGAGATTCAGGCATGATTTCGTCTCACAACCACACGCATGAAACATATTTTTCTGCAAGATAACCTAAAGCCAAAAATTGTCAGCCTGCATATGCTACTCTCTGCAGACCTTATTATGATATTTTTTCACTCAATACAGTAAAGCAGTAGGCATAGGAGTTAAGAATTAAGATATAAGGAAGAAAAAAATAAGCATGCTGCCTCGTGAAAGATAGCCTGATGCTCCTTCTCTCTACTCTTTATTTGCAAGATAGGAATCATGACACACCACAAATTAGAGAACTGGTTAACAGGCATGCAAGGGCATATTATCACTGGCTGAAAAGAAACAAATAGTCAGTAAGCAAATTTTATCTACATATTTTGAATATAAACATATCTTTGACCCAGTTACTTTGAAAGACATGCAAGTCTTACTTACTTCAAGACCTGTAAAATCTGTAATGTCACTTTTAGTCAAGGACATGTTTTCCTGAACAACCTTCTGTTGTTCCACATCTAGCATTGCAAGAAATTCCAAGCACTGCTGATTCAGGACTATGAAATAAAACAAGGAAAGTGATTAAAAAGTCTGCTGCTCTGATTTTTTAATTTCTGCATTTAACTACACCCAAACTAATTGGTTCTGTAGTTTAAGCATCAGTTTGGGAATGTGAGGAGACCATGTAGATCCAGAAACTCAGATTTCAGTTGTTCTTCCTTCTGTGTTTTCCTCGGAGTAATAACCCACTTGCAGAGATACCATCTTACATATTTCTCTGCCTCAGTACTAAGAGCTTATCTCTTTGTACACTTACAACTAAGGCAGCTGCCTTTTTAGAGTAGCACAATATTGGGAAAATAATGATGTGTGTTAGCTATTTTAAAACTTTTTGGAAATAAAAAATAAGGGAAAGGGGCTTGAGCCGTCTGATCAAGCCAGATGCTGGCTCACCCTGCACTCTGAAAACCTCCACTGTAAAGCCACCAAGCTGAATACGTCAAAGTTTGTGCTATGAGAATCTTTATGTGCGTACATTAAAAGTGAATCTCTCTGACACAGATTGTCACTGTAGCAGGAACACTCGATGGCTCCCCTGGCTGCTGCTGCCTCCTTCCAGGACATGACAGGGAACAGAGATTGGTTGTGTCCCTTCACATCCAGGGCGTCACCACACCTGTGAGGTAAGATAGGTATACTTCTTTCACACCTCATCTACTCTTTAAGCTATGCATACCTGATTTTTCCTTTTTTTTTTTTTTTCCTTTTTTTTTTTCAGTTCAAGTGATAACATGGGAAGAAAACTAAACACAACTTCTCTGTTTAAGGAGGGTTTCTGCATATCCACTAATGTTACTGCCAGGAAGAAGAGATTTATCCTGACAGAAACATTCCTTCATGGCTGAATCCTGAATTATTCCTGAGAAAGGGTACATGAAGAAGAATAGCTGTTGCTGGCTTACTTGCATTTTCAGCTTTAAGAGTTTTAACTTCTTCTTTTCTCAGTTTCAATGCTTCCTTAAGAGCTGCATTTTCACAATATATCCTGCAGAAGTTAGAAAAGGGCTGCATTAGCTTTTAAAAATATTTTAAAATGGGCACTCGAATAATAAAAAACGATTAGTCGCTAAAACACTGTATCTGTCTGCAAATAAGATTACTGAAAAGATGGAAGAAAAAAACCCACAAAAACGGAATAGAGCTCAATATTTGGTTTGACATGATATTATCCATGCAGCATTACACAAGCAGTTTTCACAGTCGTGAATTTTTTTAATGGAAAAAATAGTAAAATTTTTCCATAATGATATCTGCACCAATAATATGTAATAAGTTGGTAGATCCAAATCTGCTAGCTGGATACCAATAACCAACTTAAACCTACTCTTAACTAACTCTCTGTAGAAAGCTCTGTGAGTAGGCTTGGTCTGACTGGCACTGAACCAAGGCTCAGAAAGGCTCTCCCAGGCTGCGTCCTGCAGAGTCACTCTTAGTTATCCAGGCTGCAGCTGGCTCTGCAGGGAGCAACACCAGGAATTGCTGCACTCTGTATCAGAGGTTTCTCTGCAACCCAGATAGTGTGTGCTGTTCAAACAGGCTCATCTTGTTCATAAAAACACACCCTTGCACAACCAATTTAAATGCGTCCACGTATATTCAAGTGAATGTTAAAAAAATGAAATTAAAAACATCATTCACGCCTAAGTAGATGGTGCCAAAACTTCAGAGTTTAACAAGAGCTTAAGTACCACATTACCACTAGAAACTCAAAGAAATTTGTAATTATGAACCTCTGGAACACTTGCTAGAAATCTCTTACTTCCTTGAAACAACAAAATTGTTCTTGGACATGTGACAATATGGCTCTGGTCTTAATTTTAGAAAGTAAACTTCCTGCATTCTTAATACTGTTCTCAAGAACAGCTGCACTTTCAAGCGTTGCAACCTGAAAACATACAATATGCATTTTTAATGCATTTTTTTCCGTAAAGTATTGAAGTATTTCCTTCTTGAATAGAAAAGTGGCAATCCAAAGTCCTAATTGTTAAAGCAATACTATTTTTGGTGCACTTCTTCAGCTGTCAGTAAATGCAAAATACTGTGAACTCATGGTTTTGTTTTAAACTAAATAGTAATGTGGATTATTTTACTTCAATAAACAAAGGGAAATACACATTCTTCTCATCCTGCTGTCTCAGAGATCAGAAAACCTTTTTGCAAAGCTGACTGAGCTCCTGACTTGCAATCTTCTGAAGCCACGTCTTTAGCTTTCAGCAGTTAACCACTGTTTTGTTGCTCTGAACGACCTGGCTACACTTCCTACACTCCTAAGTCAGGAAACCCAAAGGGTTTTTCAAGAATTATCCCTTAACAAGTGTAAGTTAACCAGTGAACAAGATACAATATCTTAACAAAACTTCTCTTACAAATTAATAATAGTTGGTGAATTTTTGGCTTATGCTTTGATTCAAAGTTTGGAAATTTTAAACAAAAATCTCCAGTGAAATAATTGTAAATCTGATGGGTAGACATCAGAGATGTTATTTCTGCATTTAAATAAGTGAGCCTGCTGGTCACATTTTTCAAGGTCTGTTATTGCATTATTAGTTTAGTGCCCTTGGCATCTTCTGCTTGCCTAACCACACCTGCTGTCCGTCCAGAGTTAACTCTTATTTAAACAAAGAACCTGTTGATCAGCCTCTCTGAAATGCATTCAATTTTACCTGTACGTATGCTCATACCCACAATGCAAGAAAATAAAGCAATCATTAACCAGTGAATGGTATTTCCACATGCACGCACACACCATTGTTTTCTATGCCTCATTTATATTTCAAGTAAATAAGGACAGTCTGGCTCCAGCTGGCTAACAGTAATGTAACTGGATGAAAATGAAAAGTCAGTCTAGGAAAGCTAGCCTTATATACTAAAGAATTGAGACTTACTGATTTTAGTAGTTTTGACTGAAAAATACAGGTGTGACTAGCAGGAAAATTAAATAAATCTCCCTAAATGTGGAAGGTAATTAGGAAAACACAAAAACCTCACAAAACCCAATGAAGAAAGCCTGGAACCCATGAAAGATGATATATAGCATTCATGCAATTTTTAAAAAACCCCAAAGATACAGTGTAAGTCAAATACCTGTCATATTTTTCTGTCCATGTGTCTTCTATGTTTTTAAATCTATCCTGATCAAATTCAATTTCCCACTGCAAAATATTAATTTCCTGTGGAGACAAAACAATCTAGCAGCAGTTCATTGCAAGCCTTTGAGTGAGAGGAAGAAGTGGAGCTGCTGGTGCTGAGTTTGACACTGGCAGAGGTCTAGGTGACCAACGACAATCTATGATACTGTTAAATATTGTTAAATATTGTTAAAAATACTTCTGGTGACAGACACCAGAAAGTTTCTGCATCACTGATCTATGGATTCCAGACTGTGTTGCATGAACTAATGCTTGCAGTGGCTTATGACAAAACAAACCCATGCTGTCACATTTCCCTGTCCCCTTGCTGTTCTGTGGAAAGGCCACACAGGAAGAGAAGCAAAGCATAAAGCTCACTTTAACAAGGTAACTCAATGCCACCTTCCTCCTCCTCCCCATCCTCCCTATGAAAACTTGGCATCCATTTCTTAGACTCCTTGAGAAGTTCCAGCTTAATAACTAAGAATTAGTGCAACTCTCGGTGAATGACTGTGAAAGTCCCAACGAAGACCAACTGAAAGTACAGAGAGAACTCTAGTAACTTTCAGGTATTATTTGTACGCACTATACCATGAAAACATTTAGATCAAGAGAGTGATACATGAACATTTTCCCTTTCTACTAAAAAGAAATAACAATACTTTTTAAAAAACTCTGGAACTAATGGCACATTTGTACTGATTTACATGGTCTGATAACCCCTTATTAATAGCAATGGGCTTCTATGTTTTTGCACAGGTGTGAAGGAAACATGCGCCCTTACCTTTTCTAAAGTTCTCTTTTCTTCCTCAGTTTTTTGAAGCATTGCTTTTGTATGACTAGTAGCTTTATTAAATACTGCCTGCAAAAAACCCAAACATAATTCTGTCAAATTATGTAATTAAGTATACTTAACTTCAGTTTTACATCAGGAGAAGTTCACATTCTTAGTTAAACAGGAGCGTGCAGAATTATAAACACTAACAACTTGCTTGTAAGTCCCAGTGGCTTCTGATTCTAAGTCATTAAATAGCTATGTTCCCTACCAAACTTGTGTTTCAGTCCCATATTTTCTGTGGAAAAATGTAGCATCATTTAAAATGCAATCATGTCTTCTTTAGGAGTTGTCCACAAAATCAGCTCATTAAAAAATTGGCTACAACACACATATACTTTGATCCAGGTGTAACTTACTAAGAATGTCTGAGGGTAGGAACTGGAGAACTACAAATGGGTTATGCAAGTCTGCTAAAAAAACCCAGGAATTCACTTCAGCATAATTCATTGTGATAATGAATAAAAATATTACAAACTGTGAACAAAAGACTGACCTAACACGTAACACATACCTCTAAGACAACAGATGGAGAAGACAACTAAAAATATCTGTGCTTTGCAGCAGAATTTCAAGCACTGGCAAAATCTATAATTTAAAGGACTGGGAAACAGGCCTTATTCTCTAAGTTAAATAGCTAATTCTTCAAGGATCCTCAAAGATAAAATTTATAAGAATTTGCTAAAAGAGTAAAGTTGTCTTAAATAACTGCAACAGTTCCATGCAGAAAAAGTAGTAAATCATAGAAGCCAAGTCTGTAGACACTTGCAGATTCAATGCTTCAAATTATAGCCCTGGGAAGAATTTAAGGTTTAGGGGGTTTTGATGAGGACTGCCATGAAGGTTTCTTCTATTTTCTCTCCTTTACCACTAAAAGTATCTAAATTATTTCTGAGCAACTCCTACCATGCTCTGCAGAATTCTTAGGGCTTCATCTTTTCCTTCAAGCCGTCTTTGAGATGCTTCAAGCTCCACTTTCAAAATCTCAACTTCCTGAAGAAAAGTTAAATAGATAAACTGAGTAAAAGCCAAGATAATTCTGTTAAAACGTCTATTTGGAAAATAAACCACTAAATAATACAGTTCTTCCTTGCTAAAGAAGTTGTACATACCAACACAGGTTTGGAGCTTTAAAATAAATTAGCAAAACAGAACAGCAAATACACAAGCAGGCAAAGACATGCAGCAGATACAAAACAGCAAATATTTCAAATATATACTAAAATATAAATGCTACATAAATGTAACATACTATGTATTATACAAAGTATCCATAGTCTATAGTGCAGATATCATGTTAGGACTGTTAGATCAAAACCACTACTTCTCCAGAACAGAACGACAACGAAACAGATTCCTGCTCCAGGTACACGCCAATCACATCTTTACACAACATTCCCCCCCTCAGAAGAAAGCAGTTTTTCAATTTTCTAGCACTAAAATAAAATTTACTGAGTTGAATACTAGTCTTCCCTTAACCCCTATGTACATCACTCAGTTATTCACTTCTGGCCATATAGAAATTTTTCATAGTTCTTCCAGTTCTATTACTTCAGGATCGATACTGAGATTGTGCCTGGGAGCAGTGGCAATTTGTCAGTTTTGTCTAATTGAAAATGAGTAAGGTTCCGTGACATTTTAACTTCCTGCACACTGAAGGTTCTTCATGCTAAAACAGCTTGAAAATGACCTAGCGTGGGCCATTCTGAGGCTAAAGAACACAGTGTACCTGAAGTGTGTATTTTTACAGCAAAGATCACCCTGCTCTTTCTGCCTGGTCTGATGCCAACCCATAACATTCAACCATAGTAAGTAAAAATATAGGAGTTAACTACTTTTCAACAAAAACACAGATTGAAAACACAAAAGACTATTCTGTTTACTCTGCAGATTTTCAGTTCCGAAGCTTAATACAAAATAAAAAGAAAAAAAAGAAAAGGCATACAATTCTTTTAATATTCTCTTAATCTCTAAAAATACTTCTTCCTCCCTCATCAAAAAGTAAAAAAAAATCCAGAGTATGAACTACACCTCACACTCTGATTTCCTGGCATAAAATGTAATGGGGCTTCCAACTACCACTCTCATTTCAAGAACCTGAATTAATCCAAGACTCTGGACATGCCAAAATCTTCAGCTAAACTAAAATTGTGCTTTACTTTGCTACATTAAAAGGAAATGTGTATTTCAAGAGCAGCACACTTGGCACAGTTACTAACCTCTAGAGCTTTCTGAAGTTTTTGCTTTAGTTCTTCATTTGATGCTTCAGTATTAGATTCTGTAGGATTGATAAGAGATATTAAATGATGCAATACTTACAGAAAAAAAAGTGAGAATTTGCTTTACCCTGAAAACAGGTTACATGCAGAGGTGAATTTTAATATTTGTGGTTTTTTTTTTATTCTGGAGCTAATAAACAGATTTAAGAAATACATAAATACTAAGCTCAAACGCATTGTTTCACAGTTAAAGAAGTGAGATGGGGAAAAAGGTCAGTTTTAAAGAGACCTAAAATAAGGAAAATTATTTTAGAACTTCCTTTAAAAAAAACCCAAACACAATAAAACTGCTATCTTAATTCAATAAAGGATCTCATTTTGTAGATTCTTTTCAGACTATAACTTTTCAGCAACCAAACTCAACACAACAGTAGCTAGCGCTATTTAGAAGTAGAGGTGACTTTCAAGAGACCAAGATGAATTACAGTGGTGGTGTATCCCACAAGATCCAGTATTCCTCTAAACACGCGGTTACTGCTGCTGCCATTATTCTTAACCTGAGTATCGCAGAGAGATGTTAAGATGCAGCCTCCTAGCAAATCAAACTCAGGTTCATGTGGACTTTAGTCATGCTTTCATGGATATTTCACAGAATCACAGAATATTAGGAGTTGTAAGGGACCTCAAAAGATCATCCAGTCCAACCTCCCTGCCAGAGCAGGAAAGACCTGTGTGAAAGGTTTTCTGTGTAAAAGACCTAGATCTAAGACAAACATTATACAGAGACCAGCAGGACAGTGAAACCTATAGGGATTACGCCGCTTTTGTACCATCTTTGCACTGAATATGCTGAAGCAAGTAAAGAATAATTATATAGCTTAGTTTATTATGGTGTGTGGAGAGGATAGTGAGGACTTCTTCTAAAGGAAATAAGTAAGTAAATTATATGGAAATAATTCTATCAAAATACTGAAAATGGCTAAAAATGTAAGGGAAAGCAGTTAAAGAATAAGGACCAGCACAGCCAATATTTGATTTTGTTCACAGCAGTGTTGTCTTCACACTAAAATGAATGCCAAAACTGGGAGAACAGATGTGCAGGTTCTAAAAACAACTTAACCTCAAAAGTATGCTGATTCACGAATTTCAACTAGATAGCAGACAGGATTTTTAGTATCTAGCCATAAGCTTTAGGAAGACACACTTAAACAAACCAGGAATCCAAGTGATTCCATTCAATTTTATATATGTATTTAGAGAAAAACAATGCTGTCCCCCATCACAGGATGCTGTTCCCGAAACATCACTTTCAAACGCAGCACTAAATACTCCAAAAATTGCTATTTTACACTAAGAAAGGCCACAGCCTCATTCACTGAAAAGTAATTCTGCTGTTAAGATTTTGAGCGGAAGATCTAGGAACAGAAAGTCCTCTGCTGCCTCAATGGCATTAAATATCTCCTCTTGCAACACCAAGAGATGGCTTGCAGCTGCATCAGCTACCCTGGACCTCAGCAGGGGTATCAATGGGTTTTGGCAAATGGTTTGAATTAAACTTGACAACACCTTGTGATGAAGCTGAACTGCTCAATAATTAATTTCCAAATTATTCTTACCGCAGGTCTTTTGTTGGGTGGAAATAGCAACAGGCTTTCTGGATGATCCACTGTGGAAACTGTTGTGTTTTGAACTGAGAAGAGCTGCAACATTACTTCCTTCCACTCTCTTTGCTGACAAGAGAGGAGTACAAACCTTTCCAGATCCCTTCCTAGATCTAAATGAATAGGGGTTTGGTAAGTTTTCCCCTTCATAAACACTTCCAGGTCTTCTCTCAAGTCCGTTTCCCAAGTCTCCATATGTCATGTCATCCTCTTCTGCTTCCTCCATCTTCTCCTCCTGGGTTTTGTTGTTTGGTTTGGTTTTGACTGTTTTGGGGTTTGTTTTTTTTCCTGATTGAGAGCACTTGGCTTACTGCCACTGTCAACAGTGCCTCCCGCAAAACAAGTGTTTTATCTAGAAAAAAAGGAAAGCTTAATCATTAAAGCAGCAAAACACTGAAGTGAAAAATCTGCAAGCTGCTGGTG